TTTATGGTTATTATGATGGTGTGGCTGTGGACCTATAGCATTGAAGTTATGATGCATAAACGTCTTTTGCATGATACAAAATGTTATTCTAAAATAACCACAAATATGTAGTGCAATAAGACAATCATTCGAGAGTAAGCTATAGTGATGTTAAAGGGTTAAAAAAAAACAAGTTACACTGAAATTTGATAAAATGCTGTTGATAGTTGGTGTACTTTCTGTGCAAACGAAATAAAAATCTGTTGAACACTTATTTCTAACTGTGATTTTTCATCTAGTGTCTACAGTCTAATTATACAGAGGGAATTATGGCCATTGTATTATTTTCGAGCTTCCAAAAGATGTAGATTTAATTTAGGAAAGTTGGGTAGCCTCCATATTTATTCAATGCTAATTCTCATTTTTTTTGTCCATGACCAAGAATTCCCAACAACTTGTGTACCATGGTATTGAGGGTTAGTTTTACTTTGTACCCTTTAATTGGACTCAAACATCCATTTTTGGTCCTAAATTTTAAAATGGGACACATTAATCTCTAAATTATAAAATTTATCATATTTTAGTCCCTATAATATAAAACTTGTCCATTTTAGTCCTTAAAGTGTGAAATTTGCCTTCATTTAATCCCCAAAGTCTATCCACTTATGCATAAAATGTCACTTCCTTAATAATGTTACTTTAGTGTGACAAATTTTATAATCTAAGGATTAGAGTGCCTCATTTTAAAATTTAGGTACCAAAGTGAAAATTTTAATATAGTCAAAGGATGCAAAATGAAATTATCCCTGGCATTGAGGTTCTCAAGAACATTAGGCAAAGTGCGGGAAAAATCATTACTCTAGATATTAACGTGGTGCTCGGCTGTCTCTTTATTGAACAAGTTTTGCGATCGATTAGCTGGCCTGATTCGTCGGACGCAAGATCCTTTAGTGACTCCAGCAGTTTTAATTGATACAATCGGCCAACTTCATGATTCTTGGATTCTTTCCCGTAATTTTCTGTGTGCTTCCACAGTAGATAATGAATTCTTGATGGATCTATATTATCGGGATCCGTCAATTATGCGTACCCTGTTCAGAAACTACCGTAGATAAGGGAGCTTCAGGAAACCAGAAGGATGATACGTTACAAAAAGTATTAATGCAACTGGCTAGGGGTCTGAAATACACAAAGAACAATGGCCGAGATCCACGAGCTTGTGGGGAACTAGTGGATGATCTAGATAAAAAATTATAAATAAAGAAATGAAACAAAGAATACAAAGAATACAAAAAATACTCACTTATAGTGGAGGGAACATGTAAATAAATACAAACGAATATGAAAATAAAAACTACTCCCTCCGTCCCACTTTGATAATCCTGTTTTCCTTTTTTGTCTGTCCCAAATTATAGTCCACTTTCCAATTGAATAATGTAGTTATATTTTAATTTTTCTAAAATATCCTTATTCAATGTAAGTTGTTGTTACTATAAACCTACCTCATTTAATAAGAGTTCATTCTTTTTTTACCATTAATTCAAGTTCCCATAAAGTTGTACTCTAATTAATGTGAGGGTATTTTAGGAAAATAACTACCTAAATTGATTGTTCCAACAAAGTTAACTACTTTTTCTTAAACTGTGTGAAAAAAGAATCAGAACTATCAAAGTGGGACGGAGGGAGTATTAAATATTGGATATATATATCACTATGCATGACCATCGCGAAGGTTGCATATTTAATAGCTTATATTTTTCTTTTATTTGTTAATATTGCATTCATCACCTTCGAGGTTATTGCTCCGTCAACCTCTCCTGTAACTGTAGTTATTAAATTCAACCTGACTCGCCCGGCATGGCAATTGAATAGATTAGCCTGATGATTCGGGCGGGTCTCTAGTTTGAATAGACAAGGAATTGATTCATTAAAACTCATTTGAACTAGAGATTCAATCAGAATTCTGTCTAATTTTTCAATTGGTCCGATTTACATTTTCTTTTTTTATTTTACAATTGTAGATCTTTTTTTTCGAAATAAAGTACATATATGCTTTTGATGAAATTCATACGTTGGATCTTCATTTAAATGTGCATAAAACTTTATCGCTTGCTTAATTTTTATTTGATAACTAAAATTTTTAATAAACTTTTTTGACTTTTTCATTATACAATTAATCCTTTTAACTTTAAACTGACAATATTTGAGTACTTAGAAAATTAATTTGTTTTTAAACAAAAAAAAATGAAAAATAATGCTATATTTTTAAAAACAAGTGATATAATTTTGTTTTATACTTGATTATATTATTTATTTATGTAAAAGTACAATAAAATTAAATTAAATCTTCTATTAATATCTATATATATTCATTATATATCTTTCTAAGTACAATAATTAGTATCTAAAAGCACTTTATTATATATTTATTTATTAAAATTACTATTTTATATTTATAATATTAAATCAATACTCACCAATTCAACCAATAACTAGTAACCAGTGACCCATTGATCCAATCCCACTGCCGAATTCTTTATCGGATGGGTTTAATAATTATGCCAATAACTGCAACGAGATTCCCAACAAGTTGCACTTGGGTACTCTTTTGTATTACACACCCACACCTTATATTTTATGCATTCATTTACATGCTCGGATGCTTCCTCCACTGCCAATGAGTATTTTTTATTCTCTTTCTCATTTCTTTGTTTATAATTTTTTACCCTGGTCATCTGAGCGCGAATCTTGGCCAGCTGTCTTTGTATACTTCAGACCACCAAGCCAGTTGCGTTAACACTTTTCATAATGCGTCGCCTTTTGATTTCTCTATGCTCCTTTATCTAGGATAGGCACGGAAGAGGATGCCTACAATAGACGAATCCATAAATCTACCTTGTATATAAGAAAAAAGCCACTTTACTATAGCAACCCATCTTTTTGACACATGTACTGTATATTTTTAATAAGTGGCAGTTTTCATTTTTAGTTGAATTTTTGGTCCTCTATTTTCTTTGGTTAGTCAAAAATCATATACATCACTCCCCCTAATTCTTCTCTTCTTCCTCTTTCCGCCTCTGCCTTCAACCCTTATCTCTCTCTTTTTTGTTCATCTCTCCTTTTTCCCCTTCAATTTTTTTCTTTATAATTAATTATACTAGGATTATTTTCTTATTATTTTTTAGGTGATTATTGTTAACTACGGAGAGGTATCGCAACAATCAACTAATTTATACTGTCACTTTTTCTTCTATCAATTTTGACTCTTTAATCCAGTATTTTGTTTTTCCTTTTTTTTCCCTCCATCCTAATTTTTCTCTGCATTTCCTCCTTCCATTCAGTCGATGCCTCTTTTCCTTTTTCCTCTAAAATTAACTGAATGTATTTTTTTTCTTGTACGAGAATGGATGTTTCTTTTCTTTCTTTGTTCAAAAATCATAATTCATAATCATCTCTATTTTTTTAAGAGAAACATAGGCAAGATCTTTTACCACCACTACTCCTACTATTTGGTATGTTCCATTTTTTCCCTATTTTTTTCCCATTTCACACTGCCAAATATGGATTTAAGTTTTTTCATTAATTCCATTTTATTTAGCCTTTATCATTTTTCTTTTTTTTTGCCTCTTTATCATGTTATCATGGTGTATTTTTTAAAATTTTAGTTTGATCTCCTTGATATTCATCAACCTTCCATTATTTTAGTTCTGCAAGTCGATTCTCCTTTTGTGAGGTTTGTTTTAAATCTAAATGCAAAATTTTTATTTTGCAATTGTGATGTTATAGTTCCTTTTCAATGTATAATTGAATCTTGCACTTTTTTTATTAATTCTTTGGTACTAAATTTTTGTACCCTTTTATGCATTGAAAAGCCTTCTGTTCAAATTTCTTACAGGTTTTGTTGTGAATTTGTAAGATGAAAGTTTTTACATGATGATGTTTTATTTGAGAACAAAATAGTGGTGAAATTTTATGTATTTGTAATTATAAGGGCAAATTATATTTTACCCCCCGTGGTTTAGCGTTTTTTTACATAACTCCTCTATGGTTTCAAAAGCTATACATAACCCCCTCATGGTTTGGATTAAAGTGTCAAAGTGACGGAAATAGTCATGCGTAACGGAACTTCTAGAAATGTCATAATTACCCTTATAAATACATGACACACTAATCCCGTATGATTTTTATATTTTATTATATAACCCCCTTATGATTTTCAAAATATACACATAACCCCTCTTAGTTAATAAATAATTTTCAACTTTACATAAGGGTATTTTTGACATTTTAGGTGACTCGTTACGAATGGTCATTCCCGTCACTTTAATACTTTAATTTAAACCATGAGAGGGTTATATATAACTTTTGAAAATATATGGGGGTTATGTAAAAAAAGATAAACCACAATGGGGTAAAGTGGAATTTGCCCTAATTATAATAGCTTGATATTTGAGTCTTATGAAGCATATATCACTTATGTTTTGCATTTCTCAATTCTCATGTATTTGATTATTGAATTCTTTGTTGTTGTTTGTCTATATAATACAACAGGATATTATCTATACAATACGACAAAATAAATCTCTACTGCATCACGATAAGCAAGTTGAAACAAACTTTTGGAACATTCCACTAAAAACAAACTTTATTTTTTAGACTCATTTTTTGGTAATTATAATTGCTCTTTATTTGAAAACAAATTATAATGTGATGAATTTTAGTTAGAGTTTTATAGGTGGGCCTAGGCTGTGCAAGCACAGCCTGATTCCTTCTAGTCCCTCAAGTATAATAAAAAGAGAGTGGTGGTCACTGTAGCAGCTCTCTTTTTGACAAGTGGCTTGTTACTTATTTGACACTTGGCTAGATTTTTTTAAATGAGAACAACAATGGAACAAAGGCACACAAGAAAGCAACGGAACCAGCAACGAGACATTCCATTACCCTTTACATTGTATTAGAGCCAATGGGACCCATTTCATTTCAAGTGTTCAGACAACTGGCCCATTTCATTTCCAACACTTCAGACAAGAAACCAGCATCTCTTCTTTTCTTCTTCTTCGGGTGAGAGTACTAGCAAGTACTCTTCACTTCCTGTAACAGAGATGGCTCCTTCACATGCTTATTGTACTTGGAAGCATGGAAGGCCTGAAATCCCTCAGAGATTAGGTGTCTTCTTTTTCCCCAAAATTCAGGGATTTTTCCCCACAAAAGTGGCCAGCCGTTTGATTTCTTTCATTTGTACTGAAATTGGTTTTGCAGCCATCCAATTTTCCCATGAACTCCATAATTCTAAATCATATTTTCAGGGATTTGATGTGACAGACATTAAGTGAGTAGTAATTTAGGTTTTTAGGTTTTAAAAAGGAAAAGAAAGGGAAGTGCCCATATAAAGGGTGTATTTCTTTCTCTGAAGACCTTGCGCTTGGGAGCTTCTTCTGCCTCTAGCTTTGGTAAGGGTCCTTTTCATTTGTAATACTTCAAACGGTTTTTTTTGCTCCTGTAATTCGATCTGTAATTCAATCTAATACTTCACTTAATCAGGTTTTTTCTTCTTTTCTTTTTCCTATTTAATTTGCATTGCTTGCATTCTTTTTTGTTCCTTTTGCAGTTGTGTTTGGGTTAGCTGTTCAATTAGCTTTTTGCGTTTTCATTTTCGGCCAATTTAGAAGCTTAGATATCTTGATTATCAGTTTCTTTTAGATAAAGTTCACTTCTTGCCATTGATATCAACCTCTTGACTTTATTTAAGACATTGGAATTGATACTTTTGTTTTTTCCTGAAAAAAAGGATGTTGCTTTTTCAATATTTGTTGACAAATTTTCGTTCTCTTTCAAGAAATTTTTTGTAAATCAAATTTTGGTAGGTTATGGTGCAAAAACTACATATATTATAAATCAAAAATACTACTGCAGAAACTACAGTCACTTAAGATTATGATCCATGAAGAACCTGTATACTTAATTATTTTTCATTGCACTTTTTCTTTGGCCTCTCCTTAAAAAACAGATTTATCAGTCTGCTTATTAATTAACTAAACATCCATGTAGAAGCCATGTATTATAGCAACTTAGGAAACAGCTGCAACTTCAGCCATATACAGGGATATAGGAGACCATGGCCACGTTGACTTCCTATCAACAATAAAGACTAAAATTGTCACTAAGAATATGTTAACGGTTCATAAATGCCCTGACCTCGGAGTCTCTAAATCTACAAACTATCACTTCTACCACAGATAGACATGTCTTCATAACCTTATAGGATCAAGTTTTTTTTTTTCTGGTTTTCACCATTATATAACAATATTAGTAAACAGTTTATCTAGACAATGTTTTAGGCTCAGATCATTTGACTATGTTTTCACTAACAATAAAATTTAACATAATAGTAAACGGATCAATAATGAGAGTTATAAGACCATTATTTATTAATTTGGTTGATTTTCTTCTAACAATGTACTTACTTTACTTGAAAACATATTTTTATACTTCTAGATCATAACTAAACAATAAGTTTTATCGAGTTATGAAAATGGTGTCTAGCGCTGCTACTGTGATTCTTCAATTTTCTTTTTCATTGTGAATCTTTATTCTTCCTTTTCTTATACTGATTTTGCCTTTTTTGTTTTTGCCTATGCTTACAAAATGTCGACCTGTTTCTTCAACTGAAGCTGTCTATTCTATTTGCTGTGCATCTTTTGCTCCAACAAGTTGGCATATACAGCTCTCAGGTTTGTCTAAGAAACTAAATTTTGTGCTGCTTTTTTTTTGTCTAAAGGATTTGGATTTATCTGCTGTTGATTATATTACAGGTTGTATGTCTCATGTTAAAAAATTTTAAGCTTCAGGCATATTAATTGCTATCTGTTTCATTATTACATGATTGTGAGATACATGATATAGTTAATGATTTTCTTTCTGTTATGAAGAATAAAAGCCTTCACATGATGAGAATGAATGTCTGTTCCATATAGAAAGCCTTGGATAGTAGTCTTCTTTTTTTGTCATGGACTCTATGGCCAAAGAAAATCTTGATGATGTTCCTACTGTGATTTCTCAGTTTGATGTGGGTCAAATGATGAGGAAAAAAGATTGTAGAAAAAATGCAGTTCTTAGATGGAAAAAGAAACGGTTAGATAGAGCAATAAAAAGTCATAGTGTAGGAACTTTGTCTTCTGCTATTGCATCTCCCTCGCCACCTGTAAATTTGAGTAATATACAAGTGTGTACGCCTGCACTATTCCAGTTTACAGGGAGGCACACTTCCAACCTGACAGACTATCCTACACAAATGAGTGTGAGATCACAGGCCAAAACATCTCAAACAAACCATCTTTTTGAGGTAGCCTCTTTAGAAAATAATCCTAGATTCAATTGAGCGCAAGTCTGATAATGCAGATAAGCCAGCCTCTTCAAACATTGCTGCAAAAAGAAGCTTAACTTTTGAAACTCCACCTACTGCTGAGAAGACAACCATTGAAGCTGTTCTCTTAATTGCTGGAAAAAATGGTCCTGAAGACAACAAGCCTGCATCTTCAAAATCTGCTCATATGAGCCCTCTCAAGAAGCCACGTGAATCTGCAAAATGAAGCAGTCACACAGCTTCATATCCTCTTTTGTTCATCCTTTTGTTCATCATGGATGCTACTGAACTTTTAGCATGCTATCTTTTGCCATCATATTAGAATCCATTAACATTCTTGCTATGACTAGAAGTTAATGAATCCTAATATATGATATTATGTAACTATTAGCATGCATTATGTATCTCTACTTGGGACTTATTGTACTGGAAGGTGTGTAACTGCTATTGAAATTGTTGACAGTTATCTATGAATGGTAATTATGATATTATGTACCTATTTTGTAACTAGAATTGTTATATATGCTTTTCCAATGATCAGTATTTTAGGAGGGCCAAAGCTGTGCCTTGCACAGCCTGGTTCCTCTAGTAATATATATAAGAAAAAAGCCAAGTTACTATAGCACCCCATCTTTTTGACACATGTATTGCACATATTTTTGACAAGTGGATTCTTGGTCATTTTAGCTAAACTTTTCCTTCCCTTTTTTGATTCAATTGGGCCAAAATAATTAAAATATTTTTTCTCTGAGCCAAGTTGCTATAGCACCCCATCTTTTTGACACATGTATTGCAAATATTTTTGACAAGTGGATTCTTGGTCAATTTAGCTAAACTTTTCCTTCCCTTTTTTGATTCAATTGGGCCAAAATAATTAAAATATTTTTTCTCCTTCAGAAAATCAACTGTGTCGCTTCTTCTTCTTCTTGCGGCAAGTGCTGTTATTTTTTATTTTTTAAAACTAATCTAACTAAAATTGTTGCCATGTTCTTTTTTTTTGTCGAGATGATTAGCAACTTAACAAAGAGAAGTTTTTATTATTTTTTTATCCCATTTTACATTTTCTTTTCTTCCTTTTTTTTCTTCATGTCTAATCTCTCATATTTGCTCTATTCTTCGATCATAACGTTATAGTCAACTGGCATTTGTTTGTTAAATTTATAGGATGATGCTATTATTTGGTATTTTTCATGGATAAAAGGTGAAATATTAAAATATGTAAAAAGATCTTAGAATTCATTTTATACCAATGATCATTTTCTATGAAGAATAGAACAATAATTCTTTCTTTTCTTTTCTCCTCCCACGATTTGATTTCTTACTTCACATTTTTTTTCTTTTTCTTTGTTTTTTGGTTACATTTTGTAATTATCTACAATTTTGTGTATTTTTTAAAGAGAAAAAATATATCATGTGATGCTTCCACCAAGATAAATCTAGTTAGGCATTCTTCTACCTCTGTGTTCTATAAGATTTTGTATATATTTAAACTAACGTTAATTTTTGTTTGTTTTTTAATTATTCAGGTTCTGTAGTATCAATTGGGTTGGCATATAAAAATTGTAGTTGGTGGTAGAAGTCACAATTAAAAATTGTTAGAAAGTTCAATTTTGATTAGGAAGATGTTTTTGCAATAAAAAAAATGGTTCAATTCTAATTTGTATATGTAGATCTGGAAATGTAGCAATTCATATTTTTTATCTAACCTTGCTATTTATATTCTGGAGCTGCAAGATAATGTTGTCACCTTTAAACGGGATTTAAATAAATAAAGAAAGAAAAATGTGAAACTTTAGAGTAAGTTATATTGATGTTGAAGATTGTAACATGTCTTAGTGGCTTTCTAAACTTTTTCTCATTATTAAAATACTGGAAGCATTATGACTGCTTTTGATTTAGTTACAACTAAGACTATGCTGCTAATTAATACAGCAATGCACTTGTAGTGTATTGATTTTCTCTCTTTTTTGGGTATTATCATAATAATAATTCAAAAATCTTTATTCAAATCACAATAAATAGGGGTATTAACTTCATAGATGGAATTTCTCTTCACAACAAATTTTGAGGGAAATTTTATTTATACTCCATATTTTATTAATTGTATTCCTACAATAAATAAAAACTATATGATAAAAATAATAGTGAAAATGTGATTAACAAAAATGAGAGTTCAAATAACATTTGTTAATTTTAATTGTTTTGAGGCCCAATTTTCTCCTATATTTCTATTGATTTATCATGTGCCAAAATAATTTGATGTTATGTGTTTGACTAAATTTCTAGGGGGCTTGAGCTGTGCTTTTATTAGTTACTTAATTTGTTGGTAAGAAACAAGGTTTCTTTTGCAAAATTTGTTCATTAGATTTTTTTTCAAATAATTAGGATATAAAGGTAAATTTTCACAATCTTTTGTTAGCAATAGACCCCAATTTCCTCCTAGGCAGTGACGAAATCAAGATTTTTTCCTTGAAGGGAGGGCCAAAATGATTGATAAATAAAATTATTTTAATATGTTATGTTCAAAATAATTTTCATCTATTTAAATATATGGCATCCTAAAATATCAAATATTAACTTTAATTATAAGGGTATGTCTATTTAATAAATATGTAGTATAGTCATAACTAAAATTAAGAAAAGAAATAACGTTTGATTAAATATTTTATACGAAAAAATGCACTTTTCATCCTCAAAGTTTGGGTGGTTGGCCAATTTCATCCTCAAAGTTTCATAATTTTGGCCAATTAAGGACAATTGACGGGAAATGAAGAATTAATCGTTAGAACCAACGATTTTACCCAACAAAAAATGGGTAAAACCGAATAGAGTCATTTTTAACGGAACAATTGCAACGGACAAAAAACTCAATTCTTCTCCTTCTTTGCTCTGCCTTTCTGTAACCCCAAATTTTTTTTGCCAATCTTTGAAATTTTAACAACCGTTATACAACTTTCAAAACAAATTAATTCATTCTAAATTTTTATTTGGGATTATTTCATAAACCAAATCGCGGTCACTTTGTGTAAAGTATCACTTTCCCAAAAAAGACCAGCTCTTTATGGCTTTCCTCCATTATAAGAACAGAGTACCCATTTTTTCATAACTAAATTTATTTATCGAATAAAATAAAAATAAAGCCATTTTCTAATAAAAAACCAGCTCTTTATGGTTTTCCTATATTATAAGAACAGAGTACCCATTTTTTCATAACTAAATTTATTTATCGAATAAAACAAAAATAAATCCATTTTCTAATAAAAGTCCAGCTCTTTATAGCTTTCTTCCATTATAAGAACAGAGTACCAATTTTCTCATAAATAAATTTATTTATCAGATAAAATAAAAATAAATCTATTTTTCAATAAAAGACCAGCCCTTTATGGCTTTCCTCCATTATAAGAACAGAGTACCTATTTTTTCATAAACAAATTTATTTATCGGATAAAATAAAAATAAACCCGTTTTTTAATAAAAGACCGGCTCTTTATGACTTTCCTCCATTTTAGGAACAGAGTACCCATTTTTCCATAAACAAATTTATTTATCAGATAAAATAAAAATAAACCCGATTTTTCAATAAAACACCAACTCTTTATGACTTTCCTCCATTATAAGAACAGAGTACCCATTTTGAAGGCAAAAGGAATTTGTTTATCGGATAAAATAAAAATAAACTCATTTTTCAATAAAACATCAACTATTTATGACTTTTCTCCATTATAAGAAAAGAGTGCCCATTTTGTCATAAACAAGTAACTTCTTTAATTAGAAACCATCGACCCCTTACCAAAGACGATCAAATGCAGCTAGATGATTTTTTTGCAAGAAAGTTGCCAAAAGCAGCTTTGTGACTGTAGTTGCTACTTTTTTTTTCAACCATTTTTTTAGCAAGAGGTATCATTAATGTCAATATTGAGATATAGCAAAAATTTTATATGAAATGACAAACCAATTTGTCATTACAAATACAAAAACGAGCAACAATATATTACAACCAATACTATCAACAGTACAAAGCACAAAGATACTCAAATCAAATCCTAATTAGGCTTTAATATGTACAACCAAAATTGTCAGGGATAACAAATGCTAAGATAGACCCTGTGCCGATATACAATGAGTATCATGTTTGCATTAATTGGCGAAGTCCATAATCGAAGTAGCTTGTAAGAGCTTCATAGCTAGGTTTACTACAATCCACCATCAACCTACAGAGTCCAATGGAAAAAAAATTATTAAACAGAAATATACATTGGTAGTAAGATAAATTAAACTTGCATTAGCCTACATATATCAAAGACGTTATGTTTTAATTGCTTTAAAAGATTCACTCACTTAGAGTTCAAGTCAACATTCATCTATTATTTTAGTAAATGGAAAATTAGCCTTTGGTTCCCCATGTGTGAGTTAATACAAGGAACCTCCTCCATAGTCGCGGGTTGCTTACAGCTTCCATCAATTCTTGTATTTCTTCTTCTGAAAGCTTGGATCCCAACCTAGATAACCCAGTTTTGAGCTCTTCATAAGTAATGGTACCACTTCTATCCATGTCCATGTTGTTGAACATTTGTCTCAACCCCTTGATTTCTTCTTTTGAAAGGTTTTCTGCAATAACCTTCCAGTAATTTCATGTTTCAACTATCAATAACTCTAGAAAGAGGAATCATAAAGCAACTATAGAAGGGAAAGTACTCTTATGAATGACTGTCAAATGTATTCACTAGTTCATTATGGAAACCGTGCTGTCCAAAGAAATTTACATATCGATTCATTACCTTTAAAGCCAGCTTTTTCAGCTTGTTCATTGCTCTAAATTGCTTCATCCTTATTTGCACAACACTGTCAATAGGCATATCTGATGCTTCACCACCTTCCTTGAGCCATTGATGTTCTGGTTCATATATGTTTAGCCAAATTTAGATGATGATCTGAATTATAGGTATGCAATTATTTGGAGGATGTAAACATTATATACTATTTTCTTTCCAAGAAGTGCAATACAGACAGTGTTAACTACTGCCACTACATGGAGTGTTATACTCCATACGCTATTTACTCTCTGTACAATATATAATAGGTTCTTTACAGCAACAAGTAAACAGAGCCAAATGACTTGAGAAGGACAGAAAATAATAATATTGAAGGTCAAAAGTTTTTACTATTTACCAAGGGCTTCGGCAGCGGTGATCCTTTTCCGAGGATCCATTGTTAACATTTTCCTAACAAGATCCTTTGCACCAGACGATATTGAAGGCCAAGGAGAGCTTTGGAAATCAAGGCGCCCCGCTAGGATTTCATCAAAAATGCCTTTGTCATTCTCTGAAGCACAAGCCAATATCACTCAGTATAGCAACTTAAAAGCTAAATAGCAAAAATTAATTCCAGGTGCTAGAATTTAATTCATTCTTCATTGCAGCGTAAGAGAATTAGGGGGTTTGGGACAGCAAAAGGGGGTTTGGGACAACAAAATGGGACAATTAGGGCTGGGCA